GAGTCTCTGAGGCAGGCACCAGGTGGACCTGTTGGAAAAACTGGAAAGAAGAGAGTGGGGAGCGGGGCAGTGGGGTTCTGTATTGGTGGGAGTGACGAATGCAGGAGTTGGGTGGGAATCGGAGCCCTGTGTCCAACAGGTGCTGCGGGAGGCAGTCGGGGGAGGGGAGGCTGAAGGCCAGCTAGCTACTCGGTTACTTTTTTGAGTTTGGATTTCAGTGGTGCTCACAGCGAATTTGGATGGAGACGAGCGGTAGGAGACGGAGGAGAGGGGCAGGGTGGCCAGGGAGGATGAGCAACTTAGATTTTGCAACCTGAGGCTGTGTCGACTTACACAGTTGGCCACCTAAGCAGACTCCCATCAGGGAGGCCCTGCGGGCCAGGAAAGGCTCTCGGGCAGTGCAAGGGGGGTTTGCAGTGAGCTTCAGCGCGCTCCTGAGGACGCTGTCCAGCTGGGTGGACAGCTGTACATTCTGACTGCCGGTTCCTGGCTGTGTGACCTCAGGCAAGACACTCAGTCTCTCTGTGCCTGTTCCTTCGTACGTGCGAGTGTGAAGATGAATCAGCTCATAGTCACAAAGCCCAGTAAACGCTTCCAGAGCAAGCGTCCGAATTAATCCCTTGGCCTGCGCTAACCAGACCCAGAACCTCCGCCCTCCAATGGATCAGAGCCCAGCGCGCAAAGGGACGCCCCGGCCGGAGCCCCGCCCACGGTCCAGCGGCGCCCCGCCCACAATGCCACGGTCCCGCCCCTCAAGGCAACGCGCACGGCCCCACGGCCCCGCCCCTCGGCGCCTCACCCACAGCTCCACGGCCAAGGCCCCGCCCCCCGGCGCCGCGCGCACAGCCCCCACGGAACAGGCACTCGGCGCCCCGCCCACAACACCACGGCCCCGCCCATCGGCGCGGCGCGTAAGGCCCCACGGCATCCCCACTCGGCGCCCGGCTCACAGCACCCCACTCCGCCCCCCCGGCGCCACGCGCAAGGCCCCACCACTCGGCGCCCCGCCCTCACCCCCCGGCCCCGCCCCACGACGCCGCGCGCACGTCACGACGGCCCAGCAGCCCCCGCGCGGCACGCCCCCTGCTCGCTGTGGCGCACGCGCGGCTCGGAGCTGGACTCCAGGCCGTGCTCCGCGCCGGGCCTTGGTGGCGACCTCTTCTGGCGACGGCGGCCACTGGGCGTCGCGCGCATGCCCGGGAGGGGCGGACCGCTCTTCCTGCGAGGCGGCGGCACCGACGCCGCTGCTGGGCCCAAGATGGACCTCCCAGCCCTGCTCGCCGCCCCGGCCGCGCGCGG